GCCATCTTATATGTTTGGTGGGATTAATTATAAATTGGGAGAGACAAAAAAAAAATCTGTTTTGGCTTGACTAAATTCCTGACTCACACAGCTGGCACCTAAAAAGGGTTATTCAGTCTTACAAACTGTCAAAGGTGCTTAGAGGTTAAGATAAGTTGACATAACAAATTTGAGAGTTGCAATAATAAACTCAGAAGTGTAAAAGTTGATAGAATCAAACAAAAGTTAGAATCTGATTATTTTTTTCCTTCTGCCCTCAAGTATGTAAGCTATCTTCCAGGCTCACATAACGGCTCCATAAATTAGCCAATCTTCAGCTGCTCATTTAAAGTGCAAATACAACAGCAATCCATTCGAGGCATGAGTCTGTCATTTATAGAATGATCTTATATTTCCTCTAGAACTAGCACATCTGTGGAAGTTGTTTGGCTAATGCAGCCAGAGAGACATCTTATTTGTCTCCACCACAGTGTGCAAGGCACTGACTTGTACCATGTTCCCCAAAAGGCTTAGATGGATGTCACCTCCTCCTAACAAACACCACTTGTGAATGAGTTCTGAATCTGAAAGGTAACATACTTGTTATTTTTAAATCTGAGTATTTAGCTGCATTGGTCTGATTTTTTACTGAGAGAAGAAATGTGTATCTGACAGCAGAGAAACCAAATAATGTGATTTCCCCCAGCTTATGCACTACTGACATACTTATCCCAGTTTTTCCAGTAGTGCTAAAAGGGCTAGAGTTTTATTTTCTGTAGTGAATTTATATTTTAAAGCATCAGTTTGTCTTAATGGACAGATGTAAATATTTTGAGGGATGTTCTAAGCCAGCGTGACTATTACCAGAGGTCCCTGAATAGAGCTGAATCCAAAACAGTGAGTGAGCAAGCACCCGACATTGGCTCTCTGCAACATGCTGCTGAGGTAGTCCAGAAACTGATCAGAAGTGAAGAAACAATTTTTCCAGGATACGAATTGCATTCCTTTAAGTCTCTTCTTATTCTTTGGATTAACTGGGATAGGGCTTAAAGTCACTGTAATGGACCAGCATATTACTGGCATGTTTCTAACCCAGCTATGAGTGCCTTAACAGGTACTGTTTGATCTGGATGAAAAACAGGATCCCAGACCTTGGTGGTGGGTGTTCTCGCTACATCCAGCAGCGAGTGGGAGAACCTGGGACTGGAAGGGCATGTGGTGGCCTCTGGCTGGGTAAGCGGTCTGCTTTCAGTGGCACAGGAGAGGTGTCCAGACGGGGCAAAGTGAAACCATCGGGCCTAAGAGCTCTCTCCTCTTCATGTGCTTAACTGCATCTCTTTCATGTGCTGGGAGGAGACAGCTGTCCACTTGGCTTCAGTAACTTGCAGTGGTGGGAGGAAAATCATGACCTAAAGTAGTTGTGATAGGGGGTTGGTCTAAGCTCTATGGGCCCTGGGATAACCCCAGCTCCCCTTGTTAATTGTGCTGCCTTGGGCAATTGCTGAATTTTTTCCCCATTCCAGAAGCTCTGTTTGAGCTCAGCTAGGTTGAACCAAGCAGAGCTGAATACAGTCTCTTTAACTTGGATTTCTGCCATAAAAAAAAAAAAAGGAAAATAAAAATCTATAAAAGCATGGTGACACAAGGCAGCTTGTCTCGTCCTTCTTCCTTGTAACGTTTTCTACATGCTCTCTTTTTGAGGAAGACACAAAGAAAACCATTTTGTCCCTCATAGGTTTTGGGCATCTTCCAAAGTCTCAAGTCTGAGATACTGAAGATCTATTTGTCTCCAAGATCTAGTCAACTTCTGTTTTGAAAGACATCTTGAAATAGGGATTTGACAGAGGTGAGGGCTTAAATGCCTAGCCAGATCAGTTGCTATGCCAAGAGTTGAAGAGACGATCAGAAAGAATTTTATTCAACAAAAAAAATGCATTTACAGATGTAACCAGTTTCAAGATTAGATGAACCCAGTTCTGTGGTGTTTGGTCGCTGGTGTTTGCTTTACCTTGAAGTGAAATACTCCTTTAGGTAACTGTTCCCTAAGCCCCTGGTGACCCTCAGGCTTCAGTCCTGAACCTTATTCAGGCTTGCTGCCGGAGAAAAGCAGGAACAGATTCTTCAGTGTTAAACTTCTCATGCCTTTAAATGAACCAGATAAAACTGTCCCCATGTTTTACAGCAGTCCCTGATAATTTCCATTATTTATGAACACATTTCCTACAAACTTTCTGTCCAGGGATAGGATGTGAAATACCCACTTAAACAATGAAGAAAAGGGACTTTCTAAACAAAATAATGAAACTGGCAATATACCAAGAACTCAACAGAGCTGAACCAAAAATACATCTGAAGTACTTTAAAGGTCACTTACTGTGTTGTTATGACGTAGGTAATGTATTTTTCAGGGGAGGGGGGAAACCAAAACAAACTTTTTTTTCTCTTAAAGCACTGAGCTCTTTCGATTGTAAAACACTGATTTTTCACATGATTTTCCAAAATAATAACCTTGAGGCATTTTCCCACAATTTGTCTTTTCAAGCAACTTTGTTGTTTTTTTTAAAATCTTGGAAAGACAGAGCTTGTCTTGTTTTGTTATGAGACAATCAAGATAAACTCCTTTCCCTTTGAAAAAAGGGTGTACAGTTCTAGCAGGCTTCACAAATCCAGACACTTTTACCAGAAGGTAAAGCAACAGCAGAAACTAAGTGCTAATAAACTGTTACTGATTGATTTACACAACTGTGACAATCGTCCTGGGTGACTTCAGCAAAGAGTGAATCTGAAAGTACCAATTCAACACTGCTATTGATTACAGGTCAAGTTTAATTCTGGTGTATATTTTGTATTTAGGAAAAGTAAATTAAATTAAATACAAAATATTAAAGCAATTTTGTATTTGCAGCAAAAGTGCCATCCCCAAACCACTCTTTTCCTCAATAACCCAGCTTAGCAGAAAACTCTGCATCTGCTAAGGGATCCAAGTAGGACAGGGAGCAGGTTTGGTTTCAAAAGTAACCACTTTATCATTGGACAAAGCAAATGTGTTTGCTCATCTGAGCCTTACCACTGGCTTTTACAGGAAAAAAAAACCATCTTGTTCAGTGGGAGACACCTCACTCTTAAAAATGTTATTTTTTTTCTTTAATTGCTAAAGTCATGGGGGTGACTCCTGTTTAAAGCAGATCTATACATAATAATTTAGCTAACTGGGGGCCTTGCCTAATGCATTGCAGGACTGAGCCCATGTTACAGAAAGTGTAAGTCATGTGAAGGTTTTGCCAGATAAGAGTCGGTGTATTCTGTCTGGCCCAAGCCTGCGTTTGCTTGGTACGGTTAAGTGCAAGCAGCATTTGTTCTGTTCGTGCAGCACATGAGACAAGACTTCCTTGTGGGTTTTGAGCCAAAAAAAAACCCATAAATATCATTACATTTGGAAGTGGAAGGGTGCAATAGCAAATTGATGTAAACAGTCTGAACTCTGCAATATGGAAATGCTGTTTAACCTGGGGAGTCCCGGATGTTCATAAACCTATTCATCATCTGATGAACCTAAAATGAAAGAGATTTGGCAAAGCATCAAGTTTGCTAGCTTGGATAACATGTCCAGGAAACAAAAAATGTTGCAGACCACAAACCCACAGAAGAAGTTGTAACAACAGACCTTGCAAAAATTTACCATGTCTTGCAAAAGCAGAAAACCCCCAATTCAGTGTTTGATAAAAATATAATCTAATAAGATATACAGTGGAGACCATCAACAATTGAACCAAAGATTTTGCGCAAAGAGGGAAAGAAAAAGGTCAGAATGTATCATCATATGCATATGAAAACTGCAGTAAACATGTTTTGCAGAGCTCTCACTCTTACTAGAAGTAGTGTTACAGAAAACACCCCCAGCCAAATCATAGCAGACACGTGTATTTTTAAAGGAAGCATAGAAAGCCCTCGTGGAACTGTGTAGAGATTAACATAAAGAGCCAATCTGTATAGACAACTGATTTGTTCAGAAATGGAAGCTGGAAGAAAGGTGAAGTTATGATAACTTCTACCACCCTGTGCTGGAGAAGGAGATCCTTCAAGCTCTGTTCAACTGGAGAGGGAATGGTTGAATTCTGTACGAGGTTGAATATGTACGAGGGAGGCCCAGAGCAACAACCTGTGCGTCTGTCTGCTGGACCCTGTGGAGTTGCTACAGACCTCTCGCCGGAACTGAAATCAGAATTTGGCAGTAGAACACGAGTTTCTGATGACACAGCAAAACCCAGCTTCCTTGGGCTTTCTTTTGTAAGCTGCTTCTGACCAAAAAAAAAAAAAAAAGTAAAGCAATTAGTAATTCATTAGAGGATGGCAAAACACGAGCGAGAAAAAGATCAAGGACATAAAACTTTACGAGCAGAAACTTTTTTGCTGACGGTACACGTAGAGAGATACATAAGGTTAAGTACGCCAGTACCAGATAAGAGTGCGCGCACAGCCCAAGGTGAGCAGCTCACAGCAAGGACGCCCTGTGTTCGAATAGTTTCGGCGGCACAGCAGCGAGTTCAGATCCTGCGGGGGAGCAGGAGGGGTAGAGCAGGATGGCGTGTTACTGTATCCACTGGAGGCTTACTACTGGGTATCCTCGCATCGCACCGTCTCCTTTGTGGCCCGCTTCTGGTGAAGTGCAGCACCCGCCCCCCAACGGGCTGTGCACAAACACGGGCTGTGCACAAACACGGGCTGTGCACGCCGGGGGGATGAGACAAGCAGGTTTTAGGGCTCGTTCCCCGTCCCATGCCGGCCTGGCATCGGGCCGAGAAACAAACCTGGACCGCTCCGGCAGCCGGTGACACACGGGCAGGGGGTGAGGCTGCTGCCCGGACACTCTCCCAGGGCAGCCGTGCTCTAGACCTGGCCTGGACGAGTCAGTGCCTCGGGCCAGGGCAGCGCTACCTTCCCTGCTATGGGCCCGTCCCGGCTCCGCCCGTCGGGGCCGCGGTGCTGATTCAGCTGCGGGAGGGCCCTGAGGGTGCCGCGGTCCCGCGGGCGGGGCGGGAAGGGGGGGTGGCGGGCTGCCCACTGCCCTCCGGGGACATAAAAGGCGGCGGCCGGAGCCCGCCTGTGTCTTCCGGCGGCGGCGGCACCATGACCGCCATCGGGGCGCAGGTACGTCTCTCCCTGCTCCCGCCGCCGGGGCAGCGCCCGAGAAGGGGGGCTCGGGGAAAGCTCCTCCGGGTACCGAGGCTGCCCATCTCGGGGCAGCTGCTGCTGCTCGTCCCTGCGTGGCTGGGTACGCCGCGACCCTTCCCGGAGCTGCGGGGCGCAGCCGGCTTGTCCCTGGCTTTCCCCAGACGGATAGCAGCTCCCTAAGTCCGTAGCTCTCTCTCCCCGTCTCCGTCGGGGCTGCAGCTGTTCTCGCAGCCGCACCCGGCTCTCTGAGCACCACCGCCTGCCGTGCGGAGCTGGAGGGCGCTGCGGGGTGCTTGGCTCGGCTTTTAAGATCTCGGGTACTCTTGGAGGGGTTCGGTGAGGAAGCCGTGCGTTGTCTTAGCGGGTCCGCGATGGGTGCATCTGGACAACCCAGCCCCGGGGAAAGCTGAGCCGTACCGCCGATGGGTGAGGAGCCGGGCCCGGATCCCGGCTGCCGCTGGCAAGGGCAGAAGAGAGCCAAGAAAGGAGAGCCCGGCTGACGGCAGCCCGAAATGGCTGTGGGAAAAGAAGGGCAGTGCTGGTAATTGGGGGCTCCCCTTTTCTCCTCCGCCGTCCATCCGTCGGCTCCATTCCCCCAGGGGCCGGTGGTTTCCTCCAGCCTTGCTAGAGCAGCAGGCTGTGCGGTGGGGGCCGCGGGGCTGGTATCCTGCTCAGCTCACAGCCTTTGTGATCTGAGGCCGGGCCTTGATGTGGAAGCGTTCATTGTTCATGCAGCCGGGGAACCGGGAGAGCTTCACCCACCCTTCCTTTCTCCCAGGTACAGTTTGTGACTGCATCACCTTCCCCTGTGAGAAGGGGGTAGGTGTGCACAAGCAGATCTTTTCAAGTACTTAAGTCCCATAGCTTTGTACCTCTGGCTTCATTTCACCCTTAATTAGTGCTGTTAACCCAGGTTTTATTTACTCCACTTACCCTTTAAGGCACAGAGGCTGCTGGCACACCGGAGACCACAGAAATCCTTCTTTGAGACACTCATCAGGAGCTTGATCATCTTGTGTGTGGCAATAGCAGTGGTCTTGTCGTCCATCTCTGTCTGCGATGGCCGCTGGCTCTTTGCAAGGGGACAGCTCTTCGGACTGTGGCACTTCTGCACCGTTAGCAATGGCAGTGTCCTCAAGTGTGTCACTGACTTCAGCCTGGCCGAGGTGGAGGGGCTGAGCATGGGGGTGATTCCTGTAAGGAGCATGGTGTCCTTTGCTGTTGTGGTTGCCATATTTGGCCTGGAGCTGCTGATGGTGTCCCAGGTCTGTGAGGATGCCAATGCAAGGCGGAAGTGGTCAATGGGCTCAGTTCTCATCCTTGCCTCGTTTTTGCTGTCAGCCACCGGTGTCCTGAGCTTCTCCATCCTTGTAAAGGATCACCTCACCTTCACAGGCTTCACACTGACGTACTGGTGTGAATTCATTGCTGCCTTTCTCTTCTTCCTTAACGGGATCAGCGGACTTCACATCAACAGCCTCACACACCCCAGGAACAGGGTAGGCAAGATCTAGGTGCAAAGGATGTACTCCACCTTTGTGTAATCAGTTTTGCCAATTAGACTGGAAAAAAGAGTGTCTAATGAAGCTTGAAAAGGACACCATGTCTTAAATTGTGTGCAAAGTGGGGAAGCATGAGTCAGTCTTGATGGCTGTAGAAGACTTACCCACCCACTGGTCAGCATGAAGGGCTGCACAACAGGAGCAAAGCCAACCGGGACTGGCTGTTGCAGTGCAGTTTCTGGAAGAGTGGATTAAAAGAGGGTGTTCTGTCAAACATGTGGAGGGGTAGCAGTCTGTGATCTACAGACACGGGCTATTTTGAGGCTTATATGAAGCCTGTACTTTTATCGGTTTGGTCTTCCTACGATTTCCCCTGTACTCTGAGCCTGTGAATAGTGGCATAACTTTGGTGTGTGTCGTGGCTCTGCTCTGCCCTGGAGACAAATGATTTGTGGCTGGTCGTGCTCAGTGGCACAGAGTATTGAAAATCTCAACAGGATCTCACTCCTCCACTTATATTTCAAAAGAGCAGGCACACAGGTCTTGATCTGGTTACTCATTTTGTGTGTCTGCTGGCATGTTCCCTGTATCTGATCTGTTTTTCTGGGACACTTATGACAGAAGCAGAGATGTAGCTGCCCTGGGACCAAGAGCGGGCTCTGGGTGTGATGCAGGTGTAGAAGGAAGGATTTTGATGTATTCCTTGGGCAGCAGTGTATGTTCCTGTGTTCAAATCCTCTACTCGCTGTCACCACTCCTCTGCTATGCTTGTAGGATGTGTGCCAATAGGTCACCCAGACTGGTTCCCTTTGCCCTTGCAGAGTTCACTGTAATGGACTGTTGCTCTTCCTGGTTTCCTTCTTGTCCACTTGGGAGAAAAGGGACAAGCTCTGCAGGGCTTCAGGTGGGCGTTGTGGCTGGGCAGACCGTGCTGAGAACATCAAACCTTCTGGGCTGTGTTTTGGTTGTCAGGGCTCCCTGCTTGGGCAATAGGAAATCTCATCCTGGAGCTGAGCCTCCTGCAGCATTTCTTCTGGGAGGTGAAAGCTCTAAATCCTCGTGACCAAAGTCCCACTCTTCCCCTGAGTAACAGTGGGCCTGGGAGGAGAAACAGTCCATGACAGCAGCTCTAATCTGTCACAGCTGGTGGAAATACAAAAAGTCTTGGTCAAAATTACATTAAGGCTGGTTCTCCTCCTGCCAGTGCCTGAATTGAGATCTCTGAAATTGCTGCAGCTTTGAAGTTCCCCATGGTGTCTGATGTAAAAGGGGAGACCTCAGGGGCTGGTTACCCTATGTATGTCCTCCTGTCTTGCATTCAGCTCTCTGTTGCCCACCAGTAATAATGTCTTCCGAGTATTTCAGGGTTTCTGGTTTAAGCTTGTATTGTGTCCACTGGTAAATCCAATTGTGTTTGTGTTCTAGGATAAATGTTTCTACATGTTTCATTGCTGTAGCTTGTCTGATAGCTGTTGAGCAAGGTTTTCATTTCCTGTGCAGCAAGTTTGCCAATTTTTCACCTGAAACAAAAGGGTCATAGCACAAAGGCCAAGAAAGCTGTGAAAGTGAGCCACGAGTAAACAGATTTGTCTTTGAAAGCTGAGAATCTGAAGTCCTGCCTAAACATACATCTACACTTGCCGGATGGGCTCCTGTGAACTTGCTTGCCTTCATGAGGATAGTCTCCATTCCTTCTCAGATCTCCGTAACTTTTAAAGACAATACTCCTGTGCCTGTTTTGTGATGCAGTTTCAGATCAGGCTTGCTCTGGACACTGTCACTTGTGCTTTTGCACATGAATCTGCCCTTCTTCCTGGTGAGATAATGCACAGAGCTGTGCTACCCAGGCAGCTTCTGAAGCTCTTGCAATGGCTGGGGCTTTATTAGGCTTTCTTGACCTGCTTTTAAGGACAAGGACTTGTGCCCTTCACCTGCCTCTGGAAAACTGGACTGTGATTGTGTTTCTGTGAAGGTGCTTTTGATTTGTTGAATTGCACTGTTAAAGATGTGCTAGTGGGCTGAACTTGGACAAGTTGGTGTGAACAGTGCTGTGAATTTAGCAGAGCCACTCACCTGAGAGGGAGTCTGCAAGTTCTGGTCCCAAACTGTTGCACTTTGGAGTTACTAGGTGGTGTAGAGTGCCTTAACCAATAACTCAGTTGTGGTGCCTAGGGGTGCCTATGTCAGGCGAGACAGTTCACCTACCAAAGGTTAAGGGTGTCCATGGCTTGTCTGGAAAAGTGGGTGTAACCTCAAAGTGTCTTCTTGCTGACATCCAAAACTGGAAATCAATTCTTCATGTGCTAGCAGGAGGCTGTGGCCCCAGTCCTTTCCCTGGGTGAAGGCAGTAGCCAAACTATCCCAGCCTGATGCCTCCCACTGTGGTTAGAAGAAAGCAGTGAAATTGGCCACTGAGTTCACCCAAGACTTGGTGCAATTATGAACGATTTTAGGATGCCTTCTGCTAGCTGAAGGAGAGGCCTTTTGTTAGGGGTAGGGAATCCTCTAGGGAAAACACAATAACTTTTTTCCAACTACTTTTGTATAGTACTGCTTGACTTACTAATGCTGGGAGAAGATCTGTTTTGATAGCTAAATTCGTTGTCTCACATATATTCTTATATAAAGCAACCTGTGCAGCAATGGGTAACTGTTGATTTTCTGAAGCCTGTGGAAGTGTCAAGCAATATTCCTGAAGTTTGTTAAATAAATTTCTTCAAAATAAAAGAACTGTAATTCTTTCTTTTTATATTTAGATACTGGGGTGCAGATTTAAGGGGATGAGTGGAGTTTACATAATCTCCCAGCTGCCATTCCGTGTGTTTACCCAGATAGACGATGAAGAAATGAATGCATGGTGCTTTGCTGAGCTCTGACCAAGGGAGCTGTGGCTGCTGCACACTCCCCTCTCCTTTCCCCTCCAGAGTGTCCACACCAACCCAAGTAGCCAGATCTGCTTTCTTGTCTTGCAAAACAAGATGGGCAGTCAGCTGTGCTGCTTCATGGGAATTACAGATAACCGTGCAGGATCTTAATGATTTCCTGTTGTTCCATGTGCTCTGTTTACCAGCTAAAGAGCTCTGTCCTTCACCTCCCTTTTCCCACACCGCACCCTGTGTCTGAAGCATCCTTTCTCTTTTCCCCAGCTCTGCTTTTTTGGCCTGCAGAAGTGGTGTATGAGTAAAAATGTACTTATCCAGGTTTTTTTCCAAGCTCATTGTACTAGGAGGTTTAGTTAAATGTCAGGAAAACATTTCCATTCTTCATCACTGAATTAGTTTATGTAATCTCAAGTAAGTTAATTAGCACATGGTGTTCTCTTTCTGATGGGAGAGATTGTTGGTCTGTCTCAGATGGTTTAATATCTCTTAAAAGCAGGATAATGAATGTTACCTCTTGTTAATGAGCTGTTTAGACTTACTCAGTTACTAACTTTAATTGGAAGCTTGTGCACAAACCATTGTTTGCAGATAAGAAGGAAATAACAGTACAGGGCATGCTAGCTAGAGAAATATATTGGACTGTTACTGGCATGTTTATTTTTAAGTCTACAGTACCTTCATCAGCTGTGCTTGGAAGGACATCTGGTCTGGGGGTTGAGCCTTGATTGCTTTTATGAGTCAAGGAAAGGTGATGACCAGAGGATGTCTGTCTTCATGGGCCTTCTCTTTCCCTCTGCTGGGGTTTATGTAAGCAGGTAATGGCCCTTCCTGATCTTTCATGTCAGCTTGCATGCCTAAGAAGGTCCTCATCTCTGGGTGAAAGAAAGGTGCACCGTGGCGGGATGTCCTGGAAGGGGTATTGGCTGGATTCCTGGGGCCTCTCATCTTCTTGTGGCTCCAACCCCTTTGAACTGCCACCATCCCTTTTTGAAAAAGCTAATTTCAGCTCCCTTGATACCCAGTGAGGCATTGCACAATGTAATAATTCACTGCGCAACAATACTGCTTTTTGCTTCTGATAGTTTTGCTGGGAACTTCCTTGTTCCTGTGTTGGGAGAGTAAATCCATTAATCATTTCCTCTTAAACTCAGCCTCAGGTCTTGAACTGCTGATGCTCAGGCTGCTGGAGCTGCTGCATGCAGCACTGGTTTGCAGAGCTGCAACTGGCTTCTCAGGTGACCTGGAGTGACAAACCAGAGGCTGTCAGCAGTGACCCTGAACAATGATAACTAGTTGTCTGAAAGATGGTCCTCACGTCCTGTTTACTGGCAACAAATGTCACTGGATGAGCTCATTGCACTGAATGAGCAAGTATTAGAGAAAGGGAAGTGGTTGGACTCTGAATATGGAGTCCCTGTTCAGTTTGTGTCAGTAGTTGAAGGCCACTGATGCTGGAGTCTGCATGCCTTGCACCCATTCATCTCCCACTTTTTGCATAGCTTGCTGAGATTTACTTCTGTGTTTCTCTTTATCTGCTTATAAAAATGACAGCACTCCCAAAGCAAAGTTACTCTTTTCTTTAATATTTTTCAGTACAGTTTGTCAAAAGAGATGCCCAGCAGGGAAGGATGCTTTTGCAGCCCTTGTGCAGAAGATGGGTGAGGTGAGACCCACACCACTACGGGGGTGTTTGACAGTAGCTTTCTACATCCTGGTCACAGTATCATAATGCCTGGGAGCACCTGCCTAAAGGGTATGCTCTTCCCAAAATGATGAGGATTCCACGTGGCAGCTGACATCTAAGGGATTTTATGGAGCCTCAGCTCTTCATCCAAATGAGGCCGGTGCTCAATGCCTGAAGAATTCAGAATCTGGGAATGCTTCCTTTTTTTCCTCTTTTTTTTTTTTTTTCCTGTTTCAGGCAAGTTAAATAAAACCAAAAAGGCTGTGTAAAACAGTGACTTATGCTAGAACTTTTTTAAAAAACAAAACCCAGGATCTTTTTATTCTGGGGCATGTGATTTTCCTGTGTTTCAATAGGACTCCCGTACAATAAAGTATCAGCCTGGGCTCTACCTGACCTTGTGCCATCAGTGCTGGTCCTAACTACACACTGCACAGCTGAGCACTGGCTTGTGGGAGAGCCAGTAATTGCATCAGATCTAATTAATTGCATGTTACTGTATCTCTGAATCTTTATTTCTTCATTTATGCCGGATGGAGGCACTTGCATTTAAAACAAACAGCTGCTTTGGCTTGACTGATAAATGCTTAATTCTCTGGCAGGTAACATGCAAATTATTAAACAATTCTTGGTCTTATTTGAATGTCAGAGAGAAAATTAGGCTATTGGCTTTATCTTTTTTGGAAGTATCTGACTTGCTAAATGCTCTGGGACAGTGAACCCCCAAGAATGTTGGAGGCTCTGCTTGGCTTGGCTAAGTCAGTTGGAAGTGAGACCTTTTACCCAAACATACCCCCAAGGGGCATTCACTTCTCCCTTGGTCATGGGGCTGATCCTGTTTCTGCTCTTCCTTCCACTTGCTGTGGCTGAGTTTTAGAGGACAAAGTCAACTCAAAACCTTGACGTTTCCAAAAACTTAAGTTTAAAATAAACTCCTGGAAACGGTTGCCAGTTTATATTTAATTTTTATTTCTTGGTTTTAAAGAGGTTCAACTCTCCCACCACTGCTGGGTGATCTGCAACAGTAGGCAAAGCCAATGAGGCAGAGGAAGCCGGAGCAAACACCAAACCCTCCCTTCTACTGATGTGTCCTCCCTTGCTTGACTGTCATCAGTGCTGCTGCCTGCAGTGCAGGCATAGGAAAAAAGATATTTTTCCTGAATCTCAGGGTTTGAAGCAGTTTTAATAGCACTCAAAAACCTGCTTCTGCACAGGTAATTTGACTTTGAAAGTATGCTTTGAATTTCTCTGCATGTTTGCCTTCTAGTAAAATAGCAAGAGTCTACCACAATGGCTTGGTGTGAATAAATGCTGTCAGGGCAGTTTTGGCAGAGCAGTTGGGGAATGCTGATTGTTCCGCATTTGACATACCATGCATGGTGAGGAGGGAGAAGCATGATAAGCACCACTTGCTTTCTGTTTAGCCACCTTTGTCCTTGTAGAAAACCAGGCAAGAATTGCTTCAACTGGGGAAATGCAGACAGAAAATCAGGTAGAAGGCTTGATTGCATTTGCCAGATGGTTTCTTTTATACTTCGTCACTCAAGCCAGAGAAATTTGCTTAACAGTTTTATACTTAAGAGCATCAAGCTGTAACAGAAGCTCAGGCAACTTGTTATAGCATATTGCAGTTTACAGCTTTCAGCATGCTGAGTGACTAAAGAGACTTTTGCCAAACACTCTGTTGTTCTTCACACGATACCTTAGACTGTCCAGTTCAATTGAGTTTTAAATGTCTCAGGGGCTTTCACTGATTCCCTTCAAAGACTACCTGAACAAGTCTCAGAGGCGCAGACGCAATAGCAAAGGGCCATCTTACTGAAGTTTTCTTGTCAGCCCTTGGAATGTGCTACAATGGCTTTTTTTACCATTTCAACAAGCTACAAAGATACAAATTTGGACACTTATTTCTGAGGTCTCCACTGTTAGAAGAGGCAAAGGAAGAAAATTGTCTGAACCTGCCACTGTCACTGGAGCAATGGCTGTACAATCAGAGAGGAAACAGGAACTTAGCTGTGCTTTATGTTCTCAGTGTCCATCATCCATCAGCACAACAGAAAAATTTTGAATTTTAGGGATTAATTAATCTTATGTTTCAAGCCCATGGGCTGTGTTAATGGGTGGCATGTAACCTTAATAATATAAAATTGAATGTCCTCCCAGCTTCAACAGCAGAAAAAATAGAGAACAACCAGAAGTCACTAGCCTGGCTTAGCCTGGAACATGGACAGCCTCGTGGAAAATGAAAAGTCACTTTGAAGTAGAAGTAGCTGAAAAATACTGGTGTGGAAAGAAACACAAATGACTGTGGCCAGAAGCCCAAGAAAGAGCATAATGTTTTGGCCTATTTTGCCTTGCAAAATAACTAATGTGCTACACAGGATATAAATGAACAGATGTGCTTCAAGAACCATTGATCTACAGCCAAGTCCCACTTTTGGATACATACACAAGACTCCCAGTACAGTCCATGGGACTTAGCCATGTGTATCTGAGCATGGGGGTATCCTCCAGGCATACAGTGTTAAATCATGCTTGATCTTTGGAGTGTTGCTCTCCTGTGCCCTGGTGGGCTCGACCTCACCATCTGCACCTCTTGAGTTAAGCCACTTCCTCCGTTACTCGCTGAGGCGCTGAGATGCCAACGCAAGTGTTTGCTTAAGTGCCACTGTCTCCATTTTCTCTGAACTTCCAGCTGAACCTAGATAGAGAGGTCACAAAATACTTAGTTCAGCTAGTCTACCTTGGAGACCCACATTGCAGAGAGCAGTGTAATAGGCAAAAGAAAGCGGGCTACCTTTGCCAAGGTTTGGATTTGTTTAACCCCTCTTTTAAGGGGTATGGATAGGGCCTGTTTCTTGTCACTTTCTAGTGTTACTGTTGTTGCAGCCACACAGTTTTCTGTTAACCTGTTTTCCTGTTCACAGAGTCTAGCTGGCCTTAGCTAGTGTTTGGTTTAGACTTTTCCAAAATCTTTGTTATTAATTATAAAATGGGACATTTTGGCACTCTAAAAAAAAAAAAAAAAAAAGCAGATTTTCCTCAAAACAACTTTTTCTGCACCCTGCTAAAGAATCAGTCAGAGTATTTCAAACCCCTCCTCCCTTTCAAAGTGACTTGTCTTCCAACCTTAGTCACTGTTTTGGTTTTATTTACTTTCAGTAACCTCAGGATCTCCCAGGTTTGGATATGTTTCCCCCCACCTCTACCAGCAGCAGTATTTCAAAGTGCAAGTTCTACTCCAGAAACCTGGGAGTTATCATATGACTAAAAGAAAATGGTCCTTCTTTGAGAAGTTTTACCTTATGAGAGTCCTAATAAACTTGGAGTGGGTACAGCTTTTGATAAATTCCCACCCAAGGATCAAACACAAAAGCCAGCCATTAGCGCAGTACTTCAGAATCAGCTGATTGTCAGTGTGCTCATGTACAGGGTGGTACTCCCACCCTCTGTTCCCAGAGAGTAATAATGCTGTATCTGATTTATGAAAGAGCTGCAATAGTTGAGAGGTGAAGTTTGCATCTGGCATACAATTAGTTAAGCTTGTCAGGTCTAGGAGGTGTTTCATGAGTGACTTTAGGTAGCTAGGAAGAAAACCCTGAGATAAAACATGTAATTCATTGGAGGACATATTCTACTGATTAATGAGGCATGCTTGAGCCATAAAAAGAATGTTATATACACAAAACTCACCTCACCATTAAGAAAACAATAAAGTACAGCCACAACAAAGCCCTGAAAGATAAAAGAACCATGGTCACAGAATTAGAACTGCAGTGTCAGATTTTGAACAGGGATGAGGCAGCTCAAGGGCAATCAGACAGCTTGATTTTGTCACTGGGACTCTGCTCTGTGGCAGACGTACATGTCTTTTTCTTATTTTAAAGAAATAAGAGCTCGTCAAATATTACCTGGAATGATCCAAGAGCCAATTCAAAAAACAGCTGAATTTCCATTGTGCCACTGCTTGCATCTTCAGGGAAAAAGGCAAAGATTATGTAGTGGACCCCGAAGAGAGGGATGAGGAGGAGTGTTGACTTTGCAAGCCTCCTGAGAACAAAGACAGAGGGGAAGCTGACGTAGAAGGAGCAAGAAGAGCTCAGGTGAGCTGATGTGCATGAAGTCAGGACGTAAGGGACATACTTGTATTGGCTGAAATCACTGCTGTGTCCTTCAGGTGAGCTGAGCTTCCTCATCAAGATTCTTAAAATGTTGACAAAAAGAATGAAATTAATCTGGGAAAAAAAAAAAAGAAAAAAAGGATGGGAAAACCCCCTCCAAAGCAAAATCACAACCAAACAGCAAAACCAAGTGCCCAGTTTTTTACACTTATGTAACTGCCATGTATCAGCAGAGCAATTGGGTGTTTAGGCTGAACAGGCAAAATAAAGAGGCTGGCCTGCCCATGTCCCTGTCCCCATCCCAGTTCCTGTCCCTGCCTCTCCAGCCTGTCCAGCCACCCCTGGGTTTGGGTGATGGCTGCTTTCCCTGCCAGTTTGCTGCAGCTTTAGTTATAGGGACGATCAGGGCATATTATCTGGACAAATGACCAAAGGGCAAGGAGACCAAGTACATCAGTAGGATACCTTATGTCTGGGGTTCAGACAGCCTCTACACAGTCTGGCCCCACTTTGGATTCCAGCAAAAAGGCAGTGCTGGATCTACCACTTGCTAAGTGGGCTGAAAATGCTGCTTGCTGTCTGCCAAAAGACACAGCATGGTTTGGGTTGATGGAGGCAAAGTAGTTAAAGGTGAGCATAGGAGAGAGTCGATACTCAAGCTCTTCCTTTTGCATTTTTCCCCTTCTCCAAGGTCTGTTATCAGATAAAAATGCTGATTGGCTGCTCAGTTTGGGTAAAGATGAAGCAATAGCTGTTTCTGCTCGTTTGACCCTCAGGCAGAGAGCAGGAGCCCCAGGGGAGACAGAGCTGGCCTGAGCATGCCTCTCTCCCATAGGCAGCTTGTAGCACTGGGGATTGATTTGGATTTTATCTGCCCTTTGCACCAGGGCTCCCAGCATCATCCTGCACCCGCACAGCCTGCAGACCTGAGCCCCTTTTGTAACACCCCGCATTGTAACTCTCCCCTGGGCCTGGAAACACCATCGCAGTGATGCATCCTCTTTATGATGGCTTGGACGTGCCTGTGGGTGTTGGAGCAGGGCTCTGAGGTGGCGAGTTTTCCTAAAAGGAGTGGGTCTGCTGTAGATGGGACAGATCCAGAGTGCCTCTGTGTTCCCTAAATTATTGGATGAAGAGGGAGCAACTTTGCCTGTGTGGTTGGGCAGCTGAGAGTGTCTGGAGAGAGCTGGGAAACATGGAAGGAAAGAATGAAATATTTTGGGGCTACTGTGGGGGAAGGAGGCTCAGGCCTGAGGATTCTGTTTTTTTTTTGTTCCACTAGGCCAATGTAGGCTGAACAGGACTATTTGCTGATGAAAAACTACTGTGGAAGGGGGGACAGTGGGATTCCTGATGGGAGGGATTGCCCGCGAGCAGCACAGCAATGAATGTTATCCTAGGAGTACAAAAGAGTTTATCGGTGTTGATTTTCTGGCCTTTGAACTGCTAAATACTGTGTGCTGTGAGGAATAAAGAGATTAGATCTGAATTCTGAAGGACTGGCTGTTTGTTTGTCTGTGGCTGTGGGCTTCAGAAAAGCCTCTCTTAGGTAAAGAGACAGAGTCATGCTGGCGGCTCTTGCTAAGCTAGATGTGATCAGGATTTTGATGAAACTTGGAAGAGGATGGGGGTGGTGGCCTTCAGAAGGTAAATGAAGATTGTGCTTTTTGCCTTGCAGGGTGCCTGGGCCTTGTTGGCATTTAACTGTTGCTGAGTAGCTCCTGAAGCATCAGGGTTATAACATTAAGGAAAATAAATGCTGTGACCTCATTAAGTTGATCCTGAATCATCTGTGTGGCCTTCAGCTTGTTCTTGTGAGGTGAAGGGTTGCTCAGTGGTAAATGGGAGCAGAACTTTAGATCACCATCTCTGCTGCTTGGGTTGCCAAAACAGCATGCAAGTGTTGCAGTTTGTGTTTTGGAAACATAATGGCTCCTACTGGCAGCTCAGAAACCTAGACCAACTCTTGGGTTCTTGCCTTGGAGTGTCAGCAGGTTGCTTGAGAGTATCTAGCACTTTGCATGTTTCTGCACGTGGGCTTTGGCTTCAGATAGATCATTGCAGAGTGGTCTGCCCCAGAGCATCTCCATTGGGCAGAACAACTACCTCCAAGAGACAGCTTCTGCCCCATGGTACCTAAGGCTCTGAGTAGCAGCAAATATTCAAACCACAGGTGCTGATTATTGTATGTACCAAACTGCTCTTGACATTGCTACTGTCTTGTACTGGGCAGATTCACATCAAATTTGAATGTGCATGCTCATTTCAGTGAGTAATTCCATAATAGTGTAATTGCAGGCCAGTAACATATGGTGCGGGCAGCATGTGAGCTGTTTTCATTGTTGAAAGCAAAAGTTAATGATCATGTAAGGCACGTTGGTTTTGGCTTTGCTGAGAGGGGCATTGACCAGGAGACACAAAGGCGATTGTACTGAAATGTACAGTCCATTTCTTTCTCCTCCAGAGCCTTCCTTGAAACAGTCCAAAACAAGCTTCCACAAGCCAGCCAAGTTCATATGAAATCAACAGGATGTGGAAACCCGATCTTCTTCAGGCTCTTGCTTCTTGGGAGGACACTCTAGCTTTCCTTGTGAACTCAGCTTCAGGGCATTAGTTACTGACTAAATCCTGCTGAGCAGAAGTTGCTTAAGCAGTATGTGTCACACCAGTTCAGGCACATGTCTAAATCAGTTCATTAGCACGCTTCTAAAGCATGTTGACTTTGTAGTATTTGAAAATACAGTTTGAATCTGCATGTCCCAGAAAAGACTTACAAAAATAGACAAAACTACAGGGCCTCTAATGATCCACCAGGTATTGGCATTAGTGTTGATGTCCCAACACCTGTAAAAATAGAAGAGAAGGTGCATTCAGTTATCAAAACACTGGTGTCTTTTCAAAGAGGTTAAGTGTGTTTTGCACTTCAGATAGGCCACTATTCCCTTCTACAAAATTAATTTCCTGTTCTCCCTTAAAGATACAACATTTCTGATGAAAAATTGTCCACTTGCACTGGATGAAAGTATACCCTGCCCTTCGAGTACAACCCCTGTTCAAGATTCTGGAAGAGAGAAGAGAAAATAAGAAAGTTTTACTGATCAAAAAGTCAAATACAGATGCTGAAAACGTTGTGGTCTGAATTTGTACTTGAAGGCCACCTCCTACCCCTGGAAATGCTCAGATCAAATCTGAGGCTCTTTCTCAGGCTGCTCAGCTGGACCTCTACTCCCACCCACACTAGGATCCAGGCTCACATCACAACAGGGTGGTGGTTGGTTTGCTTGCCTGCCAGTGCCTAGAAATGAGCAGGACCATGTGGAGCAGCCTGTGTAGGGGCTGCATGCTCCCCATGGTGTGCCACCTTCCCCACATCCACACAACTTACCCAATATTTTCATGGAGTTGCCTAGCAGTTGCCCACGCAGCCACAAATACAGATGGGGCACCTGCAATTGGAAAACCTAGTTACTGCTCCACAAGTCCATCCCAAATATAAAACAAACCCACAGCTATTCTTACTGAAAGGAAAACCAGTACCCCATCCGAGAGCGATGAACCACCAGAGGAACTTCCTTTCTGAGAAGAAGGAAATAACCAGGAGAGTGTGGAGGTACAGTCCCTCCACGAGGAGCCAGCTGTAGTTAGACATGATGCAGTACTGAAAGAAGACCATGGTGAACTTACACCCAACCTGAGGAAAGAGAGGATAATTAGCTTCTGCCTGGGTTTGCATCTACCTTCTAACAGAGAGAGAGTTGTAAATAAATCTTGGAAATAGAGATTTTATAGCAATTAGGGGACTGAATGGGTGACCTTGAGACAGGTGATCACATGATAATAAAGCTAGGTTGGCATTTGTAAAAGCATTAATCAGCTGCCTCACCAGCAAGAATCAAAGGTGTCATGGGCATGGGTTTGGGTTACTGTCTCACTTAAAGGAGGTTTCACCTTACTAGTATCAATAGCACTAATACCACCTTAAAGAAGCACGTGAATGTATTTGTCAGTATTTTTTCCTAGAGAAAAAAGGGTCAATAAAGATAAGTTCAAATTTGCTCAAAATATTCTTGGTCAGCAACAGAAATGCGGCAAAATGGGGGGGAGTGTGGGTAAACCAACCAAACAAAAAAAGGCCTTTTTGTGATGTGGGGTTTTTGCTTCTTTGTTCCCCCCCCTAATTCTTATCTTTTGGTTTAAAGTATTGAACAACATTTACAGTGCTCACTCGCACTCCCAATTTTCAAGATATTTTGCTGCCAATCAAGAGAAAAAGACAAAAAACAATTCAAAATTTGGGAGGTTCCTTTTCTTTTCCAGGCTTTCCCAAGATATGAGTGCAAACCCATATCTTACTATCAGGTCTCACCCTGCAGTATAAGTCAGCAATAAATGTGTTCTCATACTTTTCCTGCCAGCCCCATCTACCAGGGTCTAAAATCCGTGTAATAATCTCCACCCTGGTTGTGTATCCTGTGTTCAAAGCCTGAGATACCCATGTTTAGGCATTTCTGGGTCAATGTGCTGAACACCTAGTGTCTTCTGCAGCCATCTAGTTAACACAGTCGAACTGATGAATGCAGTAATCTACTTCAGACTGACCTGGATGCCTTCTGTTCCAATATTTGTAAGGGCATCTATAGCCTATATGAGAAACCACACCTGGGTTTCTGTGTGTGTGCTCCAGCCTGGGCTGGTTTTGCATCCTCATGCCTCCCTCACTCATCCAGAATACTCCCAAACAGAGAAACCTCAGCCAGGAACTACCAGGATGTGGCATCAATTGACAGACAAGGGAAAAGACATACCTCTCTTCTTCCATAACCCCATATGTTGAATAGAAAGCTGGGATGGAGATTTCCTTTCCTGCACCCTAACTACTGCTAGGATCCTCCAAGGAAACTGAGGCATGGAGCAAACTAGAAGGAAGAGGGTTACCATGTATGCTCCACAGTAATTTATGTCTTCAGAAGAAAACAAAACGGCATCCTTGATGAAGTTGGATGAGGCTCGCAAAATGAATGATGTGAAGAGGTGCATGTGGATATAGTTCCTTGTACAGCGAAGTCTTCTGTTGCAAAAAAGAGAGAGGTCCCGTGAAGTTACATTCCTAGGTAACACAAGTAGCTTGTGGCTGTAAACAGCAGGTTTCAACCCTTATTAATGCTGAACTGACAAATTAAGGACACTGTTTTTCTGCCTGTGAAAGGAAGACTAATGAATTTCCTAAAAGGGATATCCTGAAGAAGATCTTAAAAAGCTGAAGTCACATCTGCTCCACTTAGATACTTAAATAAGCTGAACACTGCCAGAAAAATTATGGTTTCATGCTGATATGCTTGTTCTAGCCTCCCTTCTTTCTGGAGTAACATGAACCAAAGGTGTTTATCCACACCTGCGTGGATTTATTTGGTTTGCTTGCATAGTACACTTGTGCATGCAACGTTTTCTGTTTTAAATCTCCACATAATCTGGGTCCAGAGGCTATGCAGCCAGAAGACAAGTTTGAAAAATAGTTGGGGTTCCTTCTGCCCTTCTGACACTTACTGTAAGGGAATTTTTTTTCACTGGATAAGTAGCAAAGTACAAATTCCAGGTTATAAGGTTGTGTGAAGATAAAGTGACAGATTGCTGCTGTCAACTTCAATTTTTTACTTGCCCTGAAAGCCAACAGAAGGATCTTGTGTCTGCTGAGATGACCAGAAGTCCTGGCCAAATGCAAACCGGAGATGCTTTTCCTCACCTAAAAGAGATCAGGACCGCTAAGGCTATCATCAGCGTCACGAGGGAGGTGCAGTATCCAATGGTGTATATGGTCTTCAGAGTCATGAAATAGGAGCGCTGCAGAGGAACATATATTCACACCTTTACCTTTGACTGCCTGGTAGAAATCAGCCCATACAAAAAGAAAGGTGTCTGTTCTTATTTAATAAACAAATTTTCTTGTGAAATCAGCTACTGAAGTTTTACCCTGAGCACCCCATTCTGATAATTTGGAGGAAGCATTTATGCTGAAAAACACTTTTAAGAATAACCCCAACGGAGCTAAATCACAACCTCATTTAGTCTCTTCATAACATATTCCTCCCCCAAGGCTCCAGAGCAGCAGATCTTTGGTCATAGGCATTCATACTCACTCTTGCCTCATTCGTTGTGTCATTGACATTGTAGCCACAAGCAATATCAGGTCTTGGGTATGGGTCAGACCAACCTTCACTTGTACAGTTTCGATAGACAAAACCTGTGTGGTAACAACAGAAAAAAAAGACAAAACCAGCTATGATCATTTCAAATTGTATCTTTGGTCTCCTCAGGGGTCAGTCACCAACCTATAGGGTTGCTCCAAGAGTAAAGAGAACATTTTTCCCCAGGCAATACACTCTGCATAGCTGGAAGTGAAATGCAGCTGAGCTAATTATGTTGATACTTGCCTAATGTACGGGTTATGATATTGTTTGCCCACTCAGGGATGACTGTGATGGATGTGTTTTTATTAATTGCAACATAAATAATATTGTTCAGTACATCTGGTATTTCTTTGTCAGTATTCCAAGATCAGCAAACACATGACTTGCTCAATCACAGATTCATACTCTGCAAAACTGGTACTTTCCTGAACGCTCCCGCCTCCTCACTGTGGTTTGTTACAGTTGAAAGAGAACACAAGACTTTAGATGGTCACAGCTTTTTGGTGAGATTTCAATGAAAAAATGAAAGTTTTGTCTCCATATGCAGGTCTTGGCATCATCTTACACTGTTGATTTCCTTGCTTACTTGTAAATTAAAGGCTAGGATGGGATTCCCCTCACTTAAGTTAGACTTCTGGAAACTGAATGTTTGAGTCCAACTGTGTCCCTTGTGGCTGTCTTTCTAGTCAGTGGAGAAAAAGAGGCATTTGTGGAATTCACCTCATAGACATCTGCAGAGGACAGTTTGTCTGACCCACTTCTGCTGGGATGTCTGACTTGAAGGCTCATAAGGCTGAGTGAGATGGATCCCCAGCAAGTTGTACGTGGTTGAATAAAACAGGTTTGAGCATGTCCATATTCATGTCTGGGACTAAAGTGGAAGTGGGAAGTCCTGCCCTACACACCTTAAAATCTCATTGGAATCAAATGACCCTAGCGGGCAGGCAGGTTATGTGATGAAGAGAAGAGAAACTTTTTACAAAGAAGTAAAACCAGTACCTGCTATCCTGCTCACATTAGTCTGTCAAGTAGGAGCCACACTTTAGAAACATGGAGTGAAATCCTGGCTTTGCTGCAGCAATGTCAATGCTAGCAAGACTTAGAGAGGACCTGAAATCAGCAGCCCTTCTTGGTAGAAGCCTTGCCAGAAGGCATCATAAAAGTCCACTTTTTTTCCCACACATTTGGCCCTGAAGACTCTAAGGCCATCCAGTTCCTGCCAAACATTCCCGCAGTTTTGAGGGAATGGAGGTAGATGCATGTGCAGCAGTGTTTGGCCCTGGTTTATGCTCTTTGAAGCCCTGCTGAGACTGTTGGGACAGAGTCAGGGCTCTTACCTCTGGGCTAATTCTGGTGACCTGACAGCATGTCTGCACTTGATTTGAGCTCACCTCTGTAAAACTGCAAGGCACAGCAAACATGCTGAGGCTTCCAAATGGAAAGAGCTGTGGGTGTGTCAGTAACAGACCATTATTCTGACGCTTTTATGAACATCTTGTTCCAGTTTAGCATCTTTCAAAGGGCCAGGCTTGCTTTTTAAGCCAGGTTTTCTATGTCCTGCTGCAGTGTAGCAACAACAGGAGGGAAACAGCTCTCCCAAACAGTTCTCCCCAACCTGTCTTGGCACTCAGCAAGAGAGTCATAAGGTGGTAAATTCTTTGCTTCAGCTTCAATTATTAAGACACACATACTTAACTCAGAGAGAAGTGTTGTGCTTGTAAACATGTCCATAACTGTCTTTTACCTGAGGATGTCAAAGTATATCAGACAGAAGACATTAAGTTCTGTGCTGGTGTGTGCATGTGATTGCGTTACATGCAAAGGATGGAAGATTATGAGCAAAATTTTAACAGTGGTACTTGCTTATGGGTGGCACACACACTGGGGAAGCTGCAGCATGCCCCACTCAGAGTTGACTTGGGGTCTGCAGTCCATCTAACAATCAATTCTTGGTGTTTACTGGTGACTTCGAGTCTTCTGGAGGTGCCTAGGCAGGGGAGAACATTGGCTAAAGGTATGGCTGTGGAACTGGGGACATCTGATGTGGCCTTCTTTGACTCCAAATCCCCACAGTCATTGCACCTTTCCACATTTCTTGCCTGAGACAAAATGTGCAGGTCTGCATGTGAACTTTGGTTATGTTACTGTTAGGTTACAGATTATTTTGTTTCTTTGGTCTGTTATATGGGAAGGGGTCAGACAGTCTGGGCTGCAGATGCAAGTCTAGATGTCAGCACAAAGCACAGAGACCAGGGTTTGGTCAGAGCTCAGAGCTGTCTATGTCCCTTAATGTATGGTTCATTGGCATTTGTGGCTGCCCATCTGCTTTGTCAGTGGTGAGGAGAGAAAACTTTTGCCTTTTTTCCAAGCAAACAGATCTCTGTTTTTCTTTTGCAAAATTGCTTCAAACAGGGCAATGACTTTAACAGTAATTAAACGCAGGAGTCACAAGCTACCCGCGGTATAAAATCAGAGGAGAATGTGGCTATGAGAATAAGAATAAACTATTGCTGACTTTGACCCAAAATGCCAGATCCAGAGACTGAAATAAGATGCAAATTCCAATGAACCACGTCTTGGGTTTCTGTTTTGAACACTGTCACTCTGATTATTACTTATCAGAAGCTGTTCAGCTCCTAGCCTCTCAATAAACAGGGCAACTAAAGTTTAAAGATGTTAGATGATCTCCAAGATAACACAGTGCACACTTGACATGTAATTATGACCTTTGGATGTACAAATTCCGGTTTTCCTCCCCGGTAAGGTGGCCAGAGACAGTGTGCAGTTCCCTCTAGTGGTTGTACCAGAAGGGTTTTCATTCAATGCTTTTAAGAGCTGGTATCACTACTCAAAGATTTGTGAGCATATGACAGATCGATGATATCTTCAGCAGTGATCTGTGTCTTTGTGTAGTTTATCCTCTGTCTTTAAACCAGATTATAGGACCTGATGGGCAGCTACTGTTTGTGTGTACAGAAAGTAGCACAGTATTTATTTTAATCTGAATGTCTCATGTCTGCTTTTATTTAAAGAGTGCTAAGTGCTTTTCCTCTGTCTTCTCTGATATTTATTAGACAATCTAATACTTTGTCTCCCATTCCTCCCTCCATAAAACGAATGTCTGCTTTTCTGTAAGTACTAGACCTTATTAATCTGCGTCCTATAACGGAAGAATGCAAAAGTCTATTTAAATTTGAATCATTAACTCGCTCAAGAAAAATCTAAGTATGTTTCTTGGGCATTGCTGAAAAGTAGAAATGAACAGAAAGCAGACAGAAACTCCTACTTAATGGCTCATGATTACTGCAGAACACTGGGAATAAATTTCACTTCACTTCTATCTTAAAAATCCCAGGAAAAGGACAACTGTTGCTTGAGCTCATCTCTTTCTGAGTAAGTTGTTTGGTAAGCCACGACATCTGAGTTTCTGTGAATTTGTGCCACTTTTGGGGACCCTTTCACAGCCAAGGGATTAACACTCTGGTACAGATTTCCTCTTGATGGAAGCAAAAAAGGGATCTTTTACCCCAACCTGGCTGGCTGTTTTGCCAAAACTTGTGTGAACTTAATGCTGTGTGAATTTTTGTCTGTGTCAAGCTCAGCTGAGATCAGCCACTGGCTCTGGGAGTTATTAATACAGAATACATAAGAAATGTATATATAAAATACATAAACACAGAGGCTGAGTGATGAAAACTTTTTCCCTTAAGAAATCATGCTAAAAACTGTTTTTCAGGACATTTACTTCCTGCGCTTTTTTCCACCTGGTTAAGAAAAGCAAACACTTAAAACACTTTGCTACTTTAATTCCAGACTTTCCCACATTCAGTTTAGTGTTGGAAATGGAGCTGCTAAGTGAACATTGCTCTTTAAAAGAAGTAGGGACACAATTTCACTTCAAGTTCAGAACTGACAGTGGCATCTTTGTAAATAACGTATTTAATAAAGCATGCCTGGGCAATAAAAGCATATCTTTAGTGTTACCTTTTTTCCCAGTCAGCATCTGGAAGAATTCAGGGCACTGAGCATTGACAGTCTGTCCCACAGCGGATGAAGGCCAGCAGCTCATATTATCCCACATTCCGGCACATCTGACTGAGAGGGCAACAGCAAAACACCATGCAGCATTTCCAAGTTATGAAACACCATGAAACTTCTCCCAGCAGTAAACCACAATGTAACAAGCAACAAAGCACAAGACAGCATCTCTCAGGGACCAAGACAGCTACAGGAACAAAGATGATGAGTACTCTGAACAGCGGAGTACCTGGATGACACAGAGCAAGACCTGTTAAAACCTGTTGACACCTTGATAGGGCAGAACAGGTCTTGCTTGCTTCAATCACCACCCCTCCCCCCCCCTCCCCTCCCCCCCCCCAGCAAGCTGTAGGCCTGTCCCATTCTGGTCCTTGAGTCCACTGATACATACTAGCCAGACAAAGAGCAACTTGGGTCACTGTGATCTTTTTATCAGCCCCTTGACTATCCATCTGTCTTCTAGTAACTATTGAATGGCCCTGGAAAGATGAAGGAAACCAGATGTGAACTTTTTAGCTCATTTTTCAGTCTTTCTAAAGCTTCCACATATTTTTTTTCATGTGAAGCTTTCTAAAGCTTCCACATATGTTTTCTTTACATAATCCTTCTGTAAACAAAAAAAGATATAACTTGATTAAGAGTTTAAACAGCTTCAGAATGATACTGGGGAAAGGGCAGAGAGGAACAGTATCAATGTTATCCTTTTATCACCATAAATACCACTCTGCTTGTTCATCTCTTTCATTATGCCAAGACTGTATTGAAATGAATAATGCCAACAGTCTGGGCTTGGCTGCAGGGCTCAATGGCTTTTCTACTGCAGGAGAGCAAAGCTTTGCCAAACTTTGTCAGTCCTTGGGACTCTAAAGGGAAGGAATTCACATTTGCAGGCCAGGGCAAAACAGAGATATACACCAATATTCTGGCAAAACCTGCCCATACAGTTTTTCTGTCCAAGGCCAGACCTCTGTTAGTGTGACACAGCTGCTGGACCCATCTCAGAGCAGCCATTGAACCTAGAGCCCTGCTGGGCTCTGCAGGCACGATCCTGTGGCTCCCTTGGCCTCCTGCACTTTCTGCCAGCTGAGGCCTCTAGCAGCTGCAGGGGCTGGCTGACACTGCTCAGATTCACTGCATTTTCCGCAGCCAAGGCTGGCCTTGTTGTGTGTGATCCCCCTTCTACAGTCAGGGTGCGAGGGAGGCTTTGTGTGCCCTTGGCTTGGCTCTGTTGCCTTTTAGCAGGACTGGTAGAGATGCATCAGGCAACTGGTGTTCAGTGGAGCACAGCATGATGGTGATCTCAACTTTGACATCTTCCTTAGGTGCTACAAGCTGGAAGAGGTAAATTTTGGTCTGTGGTGCAGAGTTTTAATAGAGAAGACCTACAGCTGATGTCCTTTGTGCTACAAACTGCAATCCTGGCCTTTCTTATTTTGTTCTTCTCCAGACATAGTCTGAAATCTAGACTAGGTCCTTGTTGCCTCTGCTCACTGTCCTTGGTTTTAGCAAAGCCTTCTTTGTGTGGTTTGTACCATGACAGGGAAAAGAGAGGCCACTGAGGCATACAAGGACCACCCTATGCCTGACAGGTCCTGTTGTGTGCCAAATACCCTGCACACTCACTGAAAGCAGAGGGGAGAAAGTGCTGAATGCTGTCTTCAAACACGTCATGCTTTACAAGGCCAGCCTCCATTATCCCAACAAAGATATTTACATTTCTAGAAGTGTACTGATATCCTCCTGCACAGCAGTCCTAGTGCCTGAAAATACAGAGCTTTTCACAGCCAGGACACTTCAGCTCCGGTGCCCTCCCTCTGCCTGCCTCCTTCTGACTTCACGGGCATAAAGTCCCCAAATCAGACTCAGTGCACAGAAATACCTGGAAAAATTGGTGTTGGGATGGTCTCCTCCCAGACGGACGTATTTTCAGGTGCATTATTTCCCAGAATTACTTCATAATTCACCAAGGTAACAAGTCCTCCTTGAGCAATGACCAGCAAAAGGAAATTCCTGGGCTCTTTCTTTGAGAACCATTACTTGGGGAAAGATGTACATCTTACCATTGTTTATTCCTCTGGGGTTTCACTGTCAGGAGGTGTGTTTGCAGAGTTACAGAGACAGAGAGGGGCATAGTCATTCTGGCCACTTTCAGCTTAAAGCCTTCTGCCATGTGGGTATCCCTGAGCTCATGGCAGTATGCCTTGTTTAATCTGCCTTATAATATTAAAAGAGCAATTTTGACAGCCACTGGAAATGCTTTCTCAAAAATTTAACAAACCTGATAGTTTTAACTTCTCTTTCTCAAGATTTTGGAGAGTGGGCACAGAAGGTAGAATTATTTGACTGAACTAAAACAAACCCCTGCTAATTTATGCTAGTGCTGGTCCGCACCTGCACAGTCCTGTGAAGTTTAGTTTGTTTGCATCCTTGTCCAAGGTGAGAAGAATTGAAAATCCTCTGCAATATGTAAGATTTTGTTGCTGATGTGCTCTCTAGCTGTGAGGACTGCAGCTGAGCAGCTGAGTTAGCTCCTACATCTATTGCTGTCACAGTAAGCTCAAAATCCCACTCTGGGAGCCTTATAATAGATCTTACCCATTTTTCTGCTCCAAAATGAGAGATGCATACAAGGTGAATGCTTTCTATGGGAAGGAGTGTGGGGTTATCTGATTTTGAGGCCATCTAGCTCATCTGAAAGCACTTTTTGCCATACACATGCATTCAGCCTTTACCTGAGCTCAGGAGCAGATCATTTTCTGTCGTTCTGTTCTTTGCCTCCAGGGAGAGAGTCTCAGCACAGTTTTCTTCCTCTCTTTTCAGGACGCTCAGGAGGTCACAGACAGGTGGGACAGCTCTGATCTGCAAATTTTAAAAGCATTGGAATCACTTTTTTCTCTTAAAACTCACATCCCTTCAGCAGGGTTTGCTGTTCTTATGCTCATGCTCCCTATGCAACCCTATCAACTGATTCTGGGCAGTATTTCCGGGCAATTGAAATACAGTCATTTCTCCTAAGTAAGTCTGCTTTTTTTTTTATAGTAGCAGCAGGCAAGCACAGATTGAGTTTCTGCCTTGTCTTTTTTGCTGACATTACTGTTATTGAGAAAGATGTGTTATTCTGCTAAATTAAGTACATGAGCAGGATGCTCCTCCAGAAGACTGGAGAGACATCTAAGGCACTGCTGGATTCTCCTAGAGCAACAAAGAATTAATTACTTGCCCCTGGCAGCATTATAAATAGACCTGGTGGGTCATTTTTCCAGGCACAAGTGATCCAAATATGTCCATGGGTTGCAGACCACCAAAGCCTGTTTCACTGCTACTGATCAGGAAGCTGCAGGAGCCAACCTGAAAACAAAATCTCACCCATATTTTTGTGAGAACCTAGGTAGCAATTTGTCCTAAGGTAATTTTTTCACCTACCCATCTTGCCTCATCCTCCTTTCTCACAATCTGGTGTAGGAAATGTTAGTTTTAACTGAATCCTGATGTAGTAATTAAATGCGCAGTTTATGCTATATGTAGCTGGACCAAAACGAATGCAAAAACCAGCTACCAACCATTAAAATGCCATATATAAAAAAAATCATTTGCAGGACAAGCTCCCTGTTGTCTTGCAGTCTTGCAGTAAAAAAGTACTTTCACCATTTCTGTTATGTTACTAGTTTCTGTTATTTTTGACAATAAAAATACTGAATATAAGCAGGTTCTCATTATAACAAGTGAGATGATTCCTCCCTCATGAGCAAACCCAAAAATCTTTATAAATTCCCACTGTGGAACTTACATGTACACACACATATAGATACATACGTGTATATGCACACATGCTTAAAACATTAAAAACAATTCACCAGGATATATTATTTGAAAAGTATCAATTAGATTTTTTTAATGTACTTGGTGTGGAAAAGTCAATCCAGCAGCATCATATTACTACTCAACATACTCAATCTTGTAGCATTGCTGATCACTTCCAGATTAGATTTAAGAGACAGAATGATCTCTGAAAACCTTGTAATGAGAACTATTGCTTTTCTAAAATTACATTTTAGCCCAACAGACATTTTGGCTGGAATTATTCTGGGTATTGTATTTCTGAACAAAGTCTGATCTTTTCAGCAGTGTATCATGCATCATCTCCTCAGTTGGTTGTATTTTACTTGATGATCTTTCTTCCTCGGCTTTGTGTGTCATGAAATAACTAAACTAAAAGATATTTAGTAATGATAATGTATTACCATTAATGTAATGAATTTTCTGGAATCACACATGCAAAGAATTCAGGAGAAATAAGCTATCTTCCAACACCAGGATTTGAATGTTTTTTAATTCTTGTATTATTTGAAGAAATTAGATTTTAAAAATCCATTTAATCTTAATAAAAATAGAAATATCTGACTGGAGCAACATGTCTAAAGACATGTAATTGCATTTAGTAGTTCCAGTTGTTAGCTGAAGGCTGAATTTGATAATTCCTAAAAATGGACAGATTTTTTAATTGTGCATTGTCAATCTCTATTTTTATGTATTTTATTACCAATAGTAAAGTAATTGAGTACATTTTCAGAGTTCAAAAGTACAAATGTGCCAGTTAAGACCTACAAGATACTTCTGTGGTATCTCTGCCCAAAAGTTGCCTTGAAAATACATTAAAAACAATATTAGTGCTGAGCATTTGAAGTGGCCAACAGAACCGGTCTGGTTTCTACACTGGTTATTCAAGATGATACTAACATACGTGAAAATAAATGTTAGCAATCTCATTAGTAACACTCTCAGAAACAGGAAAATTCTTCATCTTAAATAAGCCTATACATCTTGTGGGCACCATTTTCTTTTGAGGAATGTAGGTCCTAAGAAAGCTTTCATTCTAGAAAGAGATTTAAAGCCTATGTTATTTCTCTACAACTAGAATGAGGCTACAGGCTTTTAGCACATTCATCTGGGAAGACCACACTGCTGATCTGATACAGCATTATTTTCTTACATAAAATGTTTTGTTCAAGCAGGAATATGGTATAGTTAATGTCTTACAATTACTGTTTTACCCTGCCAAGTGATGGACATGCCATTCTCCTGATCAGATAAATACTACTGTCAGTTAAAAGATGTGTGGGTAATAGGTTTTTAAACCCAAAGAAAGCAGTGAGCCCCCAGGTGCTGATTTAAAGACCTTGTTTTCCACAAGCATGGTCCCTCAGTCAGTCTTTGCCAATGTGGGCATCTGATGGGGCAGGCTGGGTATGACTGGGGGCATTGCAGGTCCAGCATGGCTGTTTTCTGAGCAATGCAAAATCCCACTTCCTACACCACGGGCAAATAACCCCGCTCTGCTACTGACTATACTCAGTGTTGCTCCTGTTACTGTCCACAACTGGGAGCAAGCAGTCTGTCCCTGAACCTTGAAATCAAAGATGTAAATGGGCTCTTTTGCATGCAGCTTCTTGGTCTTTTCCTAAACAGTTCACTGAAAGAGCTCCCAGCTCACAGGCTATCAGATTTTGATGAGAGGGTAAGACAACCTTCTTTTTGTTTAAACACAATATCAGGTACCAGAACCATTTCACATAGAAATCGCTGTGATTACTAGCTATCTAGATAACTAGAAGGGTCAGAAAGCTGCAGTTTGTGATACTGATAGCAACAATTAACTACAGCTTTTAACCTGTGAAATGAATATTCTGATATAAATAATATTTACAGCCACAGAATTCACAGATATTTAATTTTAATATAAGTGGGTTTAGTTTAATGAAAGGATTTAAAGGAGAATAAAAGATGCCTGGCAAGATCAAAATACATATTTTTAAGGATTAGAAAACAACAAGTGGAAGGAGATGCTTTCAGTGGCACCTTGAACAATCATATCTGTTTATAGAGTTCATTAGGTAGTACCTAACTATAAGAAAGCAAAATGACAAGAAAACCATAAAAGTCAGTATTCTTACTGTGGAAGAAAATCAAAAAGCAAAATGTTTGCAGATTGCATTTATTATGTAATTAAAATGTCTAGATAAAGCTCAGGTTTTCTCAGAGTGTGAACCAAATCCCCTGCTGGGACAAACAGAATGATTTTTACAGTAGTTGTAATGAAACAGTAATTTTTTGCATTTGACGAGTGTTTGATCCTTTCCCAACATCTCACACCCAAGCTGGATGTATTTCAGTTTTAGTTTTGCATGCTTTCAAAATCTGAATAAGCTGAACAGCTCCTGGAGATCACAGACCAGGTTCTGCTGTCCCTGTGGACGAATCAGAGCTCAGCAGTGAAAATTTGCCAGTAAACATCCTAATAAAGTGATAAAGCTAAAAAGAAGAAACCAAACTTTGTGGGTCAAACACTGCTTTTCATTCTTTCATTCTGAGTCAACTTAGCCATTGGTAGTGTTGCATTCCCCTTTAGGGGATTGCTTGCTGGTGTAAATCAGCAAAGTTTTTCTAAATAACATAAAATCTTTTCTTTATCACAGAACTTGCTATGTTTACCAAAACACATTAGTAATACTGCTGTTTAAATAGGTCGGGAAACTGAGGCATCCAGCATCCAGCCATCTGGTCTCTGTCAATTTGTGCAGGAAGCAGCTGAAGTGAGAATAAAATAAAAAATATTCCAGCTTCTACACAGACCTTTTTAAACAAAGACAACACAACTTCACAGAATACAGATGCACTTACTCATATGACAGGTGATTCCATGCAATTGAGAATAAATAGCTCTGAACACTTACCAGGACAGCTGAAATCCAGAAGATGATCACCCAGATGGTCCACATCGTCAATCACAGATTGTTTCCTTCATCCCTCACACACCAGAGGACACTGGGCTGTCTGTATGCTCTGCAGCGTGGCTCCTAGCTTCTTTCACTTCATCCCTTTCCCTCCCTCCTTTTTTAATGTCCCGGCTTTGACCATCCTTAGCCAATGTTTCTCTCCAGCTGCTGAGCCCTAGAGAGCATCAACAGTGACAGCACCCTTCCCTGTTCCCCCCCCACAAACTCTCCTCTGCAGAAGCCTCCTGTCCCAAGAATAACAGCACCTCTGTTGAGCATGTCCCTACTATTGCCTTCCTCCCTTCCTGGCTGTTATTCACTGTTATCGACGGATGTTGCTGGGGAATGGCCATTCCTCATGCTCCCATGATAAGGGACAGAGCAGGACACCCATGTAAGATGTCAGCCCCACAATGGCAGAGGTAATAAATCAAGAGGAAATACAGCCCTGGAATAAGTGCCCTTCTGAGAAACAGAGTTGGAGGAATGTGATTAAGGCTTTCTGCACTGCTTCTGCTCTCAACAGCACTGCACATGCCTCCCACAGTGAGCACACATCCCTGAGAGCCAGAAATGAGGAGGCGGGCAGAGCCTGCTGCAGGTGAGCTGGCTACCTGCGCCTTTAACAAAGCCCAGGCAAGCAGAGGTGTTGGAGCTGGAGACGACCTTGAGTGTGGGCTAAGCACCAGGGAAAGGGCAAATGGAGGGTTTGCTTTTCCCACCCATGCCAAAGAGGACTATAAGTGTTCCCTGGACTTCACCCTCTCATACAACATCCAGAGAAACAGCAAGTCTACATTTTGTCCTGCTGCTATAGGTTGCAAGCTGTCATCATGTTTGGATCTCTGTGTTACCTTGTTAGTGGGAGGGAGATTTCAGCTATCCTGGGTTCCCCTTAGGCAGTTCCTCAGCAATTCCCTTCCCTGGCATCACAGCACTCTTTGTTTTTCCAGATTTTGTTTCTGTGGCAAAACTATTATAAAGGGGCTGTGTGCTTACCCTGGTTGTGGGGTCCCACCTTGTTAGGTTCACTTGTGGCACAATAATGAGTATGGCTTCAATAAAGTGCCAAAGTTTACACATGCACTAGTACTCTTTCTCTCCTGTTCTTTGCTTGCCTTGAAACATCTTCTGGCGTCTATTCCAATTTACCAGTGCCCATCATCCCAGATGGGTCGGATAAGAGGAGGAGCTGTCCAGAATGCAGGTGTGCTCCAGATCTACCAGTAAAGTCAACGACTATGGCCATAAAACATATAGTTTGTTACCTGTGCACTGCAAATTCAGCCATTGGATTAAGGAAGTTACCCACTGCAGAGCACAATGAAGGAATCCAGTTTCCTTTCCCATGCCCACTCTGACCACAGTAACTCTAGCTCATCTCTATACATGCTCCTTAGGACTGTTGAATTGCAATGCTCCCTATTTCCTCACACACCACCCTCACCTCTCTCCTGTTGTGGTTTAACCAGGACATCCCCACATCCCTAGAGCAGGAGTAATTGGCAGCATTTGCTCTAACTCCACACTATGTCTGTCCCAATTTGCCCTTTTGCATGTGCTAGCTGCCCAGCTGCCATGCTCACACAGCATCATTTCCCCTGAAAAGGGCAAATATTTCAGTCTTCCTTGCCCCCGTCCACACTAAACTTGTAGTAACTTTCATTTCCTGAAGAGCAATGTTTTTCCACAAACTTTGTTTGAAACTGGTTGAAGGGTTAAACAAATTGTTAAAAGGGGGTCTGAGAGGCAGCCAGACAACGCCATTACGGTACTCTGAAGAAACCACGTTGGCAATGCTGCATTATCTCAGTGGGGTGCCAAGTCATTCTCTCTCTTTCTTTGGCTGAAGGAATATTTTATTATTCCATTCATATTGTAACAGCTTCCCCTGAAAACCACCACTCCTCCTCATGTTTGTGTGTGTAATCGAGGGAGCTTTGTCCCTGAATATACTTCAGAATGTGGGGCATTTTCTGAAACAGGCAATGGAGCTTTGGAGATGATGTTAGATTTAAACACCAATGGTGTGAATGAAGAGGCAATATTTTGTGACCCTCTCATTACATTCATGTGCAGGCTGAGTATTTGAAAGAAACTGGATGCAAAATTAAACCTGGAAAATTCTCACCTGTGTAAATCATTGCTTGACTCACAGTGCAGCAGAAGTCAGCACAGTGGGACAGATGCCATGGGTTGGGAAACCTAACAGCAGCATCAGACTACAGAGAATTATTACCAAGAATTCACATAGACTGAAATAGGGTGCTTGTCTAATTGAACAACTTAGCATTGCACTTGGCTGTGTGCATCTACTTTTATTGCCACACAAAAAATGTAGCATTTTGCAGAGACACTACCCCTTGGGCCAGGGAGCCCTCTTCAGGCAGCCCAGTCACCACCACGACCATCATCATCATCAGTTATCACTATCACTATCATAATCGAATGGTTTGGGTTGGAAGGGACCTTAAAGATCACTTAGTTCTATCCCTCTGCCACAGGCAGAGACACCTTCCACTAAACCAGGTTGCTCTAAGCCCCATCCAGCCTGGCCTTGAACACTGCCAGGGATGGGGCACTGCAGTAGTCCCCTGTGAGAACTCTCCAGCAGATCCATTCTGCAAGAGAAAAGATTGTCAAACCATCTCCCCAGCTTGTTGGGTGGAGAATAAACTGTCTGCCTTAGTCTGTTTAGCCAGCTGAGGTGATGGATGGTTTGGAACAGTGCTAGCTTACTTTCGCCCCCACTGTTTGAAATGGTCAAATCTCCACCAGAGGCAGACAGCTATGCACATGGAGCTATGAGGAAGAGGTGCAAGCACGCAGGAAAGGAAGGCTGAAACAGGAGTTTTGGCAGGCAAGAGATGTTTCAGGTACCTTTCTGAGGGGTGACGTTCCTTTAGAGTGATGTAGCACATTGGACACATGCAGATGTGAGGTGAGAACCAGCTCTGACAGACAACATGCTGTGAAATGGTGGGGTAGTGGCTGTGGCAGCTCATGCAAAGGCACTGTAGAAGCAGATCCTGAACTTTCTCCTAAGCCCATTTTGAATGCTGTCATCACTGATCATCTCTCCCCAGCCTTATCAAGGGTGCAGGTGTTATTCTTTCCTAATCAACAGCAATTACATTTTACTAAGTATGGGAATCACTTTCAGGGACATGAATTTTATGACATGAAGTTTTTCTTCATTCCTTTTTTATTTAAATTGAGCGTTGCACTACTTTTGATCACATTCTACCTCCATGTTATAAAGCTGAGAATAATTTTATTTATTCTTAGATAATAATTTTCTTTATTCTTAGTCTTGCCAATCTGTCTGTGCTTTCCCGTGTCATCTGTATATGTAAATGTGAAATAAGCTGTGGGTGGTAAGAGCAATACAATGACAAAATGGTATCAGGGGTATGCTTCACAGGGCTGCTTTTTACTACTGAAAAGTGAGAATGTATAGGTTGTGGGAAGAAGAGATGGTCTCTTTTAAAATACTGTAATAAAACTTTCCAGGCCTGTTTTGAGCCAATGCAGCCGCGACAGACGCTGCACAATGCAAGCTGGCTTTGTATCACTTCACCTCAGAGAAGCAGCTTTATCTGAGCTTATCAAGGAAAAACAATTTCTGGGTTTTAAGGAATGATGATTTTTTTAAAAGAATGATGCCACACTGTGAATCCTGAAAACGACGCTTACTACAAAAAAAAAAAGTGGGTTCGTTTTTATTTTTTGTGCTTTTGCGATCAAAGCCAGCTGAACTGCAGCTGACGGGATCTCCCCCCTTGCCCCGAATGGGCGCACTCGAGCACTGCGAGTCGCTCCAGCACTTACCACCCCCTCCAACAGCGAGTGGTGCGGTCCAGTTGGGCTGCACGGTTGCCTGGCAACCGGAGCTGCGCGGCGCGGTGCTGAGGTGAGGGCTGGGCCGGGTCGCGGGCAGGGCATCGGGCCGGCGGGAGACTCTGTGAGGAGGGGAGCGGGGTCAGCAAGGGCTCCCTCCGGGCAGGGAAAACGAGTAGGGCAGAAGCGCGGATTGTTTCAGTCTCAGTCTCGGCTTGGTGCTTCCCTCGCAGTGGCGGAAAGAAGGTGGGGCGGGACGTCCAGCTCCCCGCCGACAGCGCTGGAGGTTGAGGCGGATGTGGCACTGGCAGGGAGCCTGTTGGGGAGCTGTAAGCCCTTCTGCCCGCTAAGCAACTCTCCTAGTCTAATTACATAGAGTAGACCTTAAAAGCGCGTTTTGTGTTGCTCACAAAGCTCGTCGATGCTTTTGCAAGTCTCACGCAGTATGTAATGGCGTTAAACTGCCCCCCTTTCTGGTGGTGAGGTGTGCTAGGAGCTCTGAGACACCGAGGGATTAGAAAACCCAAGTGCTGACAGAAGAAGAGTGTTACCCAGGCCTGAGGGCATTTAGGGTGAGTTTGGCTACTGCCTCCAAGGCAACCGGGATTGTACAGGATTCTCCTTTGGGGACTTTGCAGAAAAAAAAAACCCTTTTTGTTAAGGATAGACACAGGTATCTGAAAAATTTAAGATCATCACTCTATCACTCAAAGATTCCAGGACCTTGGCAAGTAAACATTCATCCATTATTCTCCTTTTGAGGAATACTGCAGTGTGTTATTAAAGTTGGTGAGTGGATGGTGCCATCCCTTTAAATTACGGTTTAGATTACACCAGGAATCCTTTGCTAATATAAGTCTGTCTACAGCTTTTCAAAAGCTGTATTCCTGATGGGGAGTGCTGACCAAGAGAAGGAGGGTGGCAGTCATACAAGTTGAAGTTGAACAACGCAAGTGGAAAGATTGTAAACCTCGTGCTTAGAATTTGCTTTAGCATGGTTTCATCCGAGTTTGGTTGGTGTCACTACCTCAGCAGAAATTTACTGTTGTGCAAAATACAGTTCCTCTTACAAATCTTCTGTTGCAAATGGAAAATTTGTACTTGGAGGCATAGAGTGGAAAATATTCTTGAGGGCAGGGTTCTGGTAGCACATTATTTTAAGC